TTTCAGGTGGCTGATGTACATATCTGTGACTATACTAAAAGCTATCAAATTGTACCCTCTAAATAGGTGAGAAATAAAAAGAAAAGAGGCTAGTGCATGTGATGTTTGAGGAAGATTGACATAGACAATAAGATTAGAAATTACAACACATTGTGTCATGCCTTTAGGTCATGACAATGATTTCAGATTTTATTCTAAATCTGTGCTGCTATGAACATTGGGGTGCATAGGTTCTTTTGGATTGGTGTTTCTCTGGGTATATTTTTGAAGTTGGGCCATGAGACCTACTGGTGGACTAGCAAGTGTAACAGTGGGGTTGTGTAATTGGATGGTTCTGATTAGAGAAATAGTATGATCTGACTTACATATAAAAAGATTATTCTGTCTTCTATAATAACAGACTGTAAGGAAAGACGGGGTAAGCAGAGAGACCAATTAGGAGGCTATTGCAGTGAGCCAGGCAATTGATGCTGTTGGCTCAGGCTAGGGTGGTAACAGTGAAGGTGAGGAAAGGGGTTGGAGTGTGTGTGTGTGTGTGTGTGTGTGTGTGTGTGTGTGTGTGCACATACATTTTAATTGTTGTTAAAGTACAGTTTTCTGTCTTTTCCCCCATCCCCGCCCACCCCCCAGCCTTCCCCACCTCCCTCCCATTTCCATCCCCCCTTGTTATTGTTAACGTGTCCTTTATAATTGTTTCTGCAAACCTTTCCCCTTTTCCCCTGAAATTCCCTCCCCTCTCCCCTCTGGTCACTGTCAGCCTGTTCTCAATTTCAGTGTCTGGTTATATTCTGCTTGTTTGTTGTTTTTTTTGACTAGGTTCCTGTTAAAGGTGAGATTATATGGTATTTGTCTTTCACTGCCTGGCTTATTTTGCTTAGCATAATGCTGTCCAGTTCCATCCATGCTGTTGCAAAGGGTAGGAACTCCTTCTTTCTTTCTGCTTCATATAATTCCATTGTGTAAATGTACCATAGTTTTTTGATCCATTCATTTACTGGTGGGCACCTATGTTGCTTCCAACACTTGTCTATTGTAAACTGTGCTGCTCTGAACATTGGGGTGCATAGGTTCTTTTGGATTGGTGTTTCTCTGGGTATATTTTTAAAGTTGGGCCAGGATACTTGCTGGTGGACTAGATATAACATATGAGTAGAAAAAAGAAGTTAAGGATGACTGAAATGATTTTAGACTGAACTGGAAGGATGGTGATGGTGATGGGGAAGGAAATTGGAGTATCAGCGTATAGGGAGGGGAAATAAGGGATTAGATTAACAACAAGTGAAGGTAGAATTGTTAATAGTTATTGAATAGACAGGTATACAACTCTGGAATTTAGGCAGTAAGCCTAGGCTAGAGGTATAAATTTGGAAGTTGTCAACCAATAAATGATAAACAAAATCTTTGGATGGAGATACAATGAAATGATATAAACTATCAACAAAATAAAGACACCCACATAATGGGAGAATATATTTGCCAATGATATATCTAATAAGTGGTTAATATTTAAAATTTATAAAGGACTTATAAAACACCAAAAATAATCCAGTTAAAAGATGGGAAAAGACCCTTCTAAATAAACACTTCACTAAAGAGGACATACAGATGGCCAATAGACATATGAAAAGATGGTCAACATTACTAATCATCAGACAGATGCAAATTGAAACCCCAATGAGATATCACCTCATGCCTGTCAGTATGATGATCATCAATAAATGAATAAACAAGTGCTGATGAGGATGTGGAGAAAACGGAACCCTTGTGCACTTTTGATGGGAATGCAGACTGGTATAGCTACTGTGGAAAACAGTATAGAGATACTTCAAAAAATTAAAAATGGAACTCCTTTATGATCCAGTGAGTCCACTACTGGAAATATACCCTAAGAATCCTGAAACACCAATTCAAACTAACATATGCACCCCTATTTTTAGAGTAGTGCTGTTTACGATAGCCAAGATTTGGAAGCAGCCCAAATGCCCATCAGTAAATGAGTTGATAAAAAGCTGTGGTATATTCACACAATGGAATACTACTCAGCCACAAAACAGAAGGAACTCTTACCTATTGTGAAAGCCTGGATGGACCTGGAGAGCATTATACTAAGTGAAGTAAGCCAGTCAGAGAAAGACAAATACCATATAATTTCAACCATATATGGAATCTAGTGAACAAAATAGACTAATAAAATAGAAATTATTCAAAGAGCAAACTGACAGCTGTCAGAGGGGTAGGGGGTCATGAGGCTAGGTAAAAAAAAAAGTGAAGGGATTAAGAAAAAGAAAAACAAACCAAGACTCATAGATACAGACAACAGTATGGTGATTACTGGAAGGAAAGGAGGGGTGGGAGGTACAGGAAGATAAAGGGGATAAATCGTAATGGAAGGAAACTTGACTTTTGGTGGTGAACATACAATATACATCTGGAACCTGTATAATTTTATTAACCAATGTCACCCCAGTAAATTAAATTAAAAATTAAGTGAATGAAAATAGGGTATCTAAACCCTGGGGAACTCTAATATTTAGAGATCAGGAAGATGAAAATTAATTGGTGTTCACAGATATTCATTATTTAGACATGTTTCCTTGCAGAAGCTATGGGAGGTGGCAGTTTTACAGTATGCTTTTGTTTGTAATGTCAGGTTATTAGACATGTTAAGGGCTTCTAGTGGTGACTTTTTATCAAATAAAAATGAATTTATTTGAAAATTTAAATACACCTTTTTCTATCTCTACTGAATAAATCATAGGAACCCCATTATCTTTCCTCTTAGCAGGTTTTTAATTATAACAGCAGATGATAATAAATGATAAATAGATAGATAATAGATAGATAGATAGATAGATAGATAGATAGATAGAGCAATTTTTTGTTTAATGTTTGTCTTTCTCTGCACACTCACTGCCCAAGAGACTATAAGTCTCACAGTGGCTTGCAGATCTGTATCTTATTCAGCACTCTATTCTCCAGCATGTGGCACAATACTTACTTTACATGAACCTCAATAATAAAAAATAACCTTCTTCATTCATTAACTATACTGGCTTGTGAGGGTCTATTAGTTGCCAGACACTGCCCAAGTTTTTAAAGATATGTAGGTGCAATTGACCCTGGCTTAGAGGTACTCTGAGCCTAACATAAAACTAAGATGGACAGGAACAAAGTGATTCTTGCTATAAGGTATCTGGACATAATGTCTACACTTCATGTAGGTGGACTAAGAGTTTGCCTAGTGCCTAAGAGGACATATCCAGTTTCTGTGTAATAGTAAACCCTGTTTAAATATGGAATATTTCAAAACATATCATGATCATTTTATTCTCAAGGTAACTCTAAAAGTTAAATATTATTATCCTTATTTTACAAATAAGGAAACAGGTTCAGAATGTCTAATCAGTCAAGTTAGTCCTACTGAACCACATAGCTGAATCAGTGGCTGAACTAGGATCTTGTCAACCAGGGACTCTTTACTTCATTTTCTATATTAGACCCCTTTATACTTAAATACTTCATTGTATACTTAAATACTCCATTAAGATGGAACCAATTCCAACAGAGTAAGAAATGGAACTACAGAAATAAAAAACACTGTTTCAGAAAAATGGCAATTCCCTACTTTTAGAGCTGCAGGTTGAGGTTAAGCATTAAAGCTAATTGGAAAGTAGAAATTCCATCTTGGCAAGGAGGTACAACTAGTCAACTTGCTGACTGAATCTGTTATATTGCTCTATATCCTAGACAACAAGAACATTGTTAGAGAATATTTGTTCTGTTACATTGACAAAACCTTTGCCAGATGCACACATACAGAACCTATTAAGTCTTTTGTAATAATTAAGTGTTGTGGCAGAGTAAAAGCCAATCTCTGAAGTTGCTCCAGCTGTTAGGACTTTTGTTCCTATGTCTGCTTTTATCTTCTTTACCTGTTAATTTAGTTTCTTTTCTTTGCCCATTAATACAATTTTCACCTCATCTGCAATCGGCTATAGAGAGGGATCTCCATAAGTGCCAAATTACTTAAAAATATGTGCATCTGCTAAAGGCTGCTTAACACAGGTCGTATCATCAAATGTTTATAATCTTTATTATAACAATCATAAAATATTATACCATTCATTATTTTAGTTAGAGAATAAAAAAGTGATTTTTCCCATCCAATAATTGAATTTCTAGTATTTCATAAGATGAAGGTGAAGCATAGAGTCAATATTGAATGACAATAATTATCAAATTTTAAGTAACACATAATGTAGGGTAAGTGGAGGCAGTTTGGCTTCCTCACCCAGGTGTCTGGGTAACTAAGTGGAGCAGTGTTCCCATAGCCTTGGAGGGGCCTAATAACTAGTGTTCTCATACCCTTGAGACTGGGTCCGATAATCTGTTCCCATAACATGAAGTGATCTCGCATGTGCAGAATTACGTAATTTTACATAATTTCTGGCATCTTGCTGGCTTTGTTCCCCTGTAGTACTTTAACAGGTACGGACTCCCTGCTGGGGGTGGTGATGATGAAAGATATGCAAGGGGACAGCTGCCACAATGGGTGCCACGTGGGGGAGCAAGGGCTATGACAGGAGACATGCAGATAGACATGCAGCTTGCAGTGTGTGTGGCTCGCCCACCCATGAATAAAGACATGATAGACATCCTAACAGCTCTGTGAATACTTTTCCATCTGCACAAATACCATGGATCTGCCAGGTTTTGGATGGTTGCAACACACAAAACCAAGGTACATTTTATCTTACTTGATTAAACATATAATATTATTTCATTTCAATTATCTACCTCCTAATCATATAGATCATAATCATTTTGTACTAATATCCACAGCAAAAGAGAAATATATTTTCCACTAAAAGACGGAATATTTGTAAAAATTTATACTAAATGATAATGTAAGAACAGGAAATAAATCTAACTTTGATAGTTACTTGATAGGTAAACTAATAATAATAATAATAATAATAATAATAATAATAGTAAACTACCCTTTTTACGCAGCAGAATTCTGGCATGTTTTTGTCCATTTTGGTTTTCCATATGGCAGGTATAATTTGCCAAGTCAGCCTCCACCACTGAATCAAAGATGAGTGCCAACTCAACTTCTTTTTCTCCAAGATGCTCTTTGAGTAGCCTAAAATAAAGACAAGATCCTTGAATAAACTGGATTGATTTGGGGAGAGAGCAGCTATAAGAAGACTACAGATGCTTAAAATGCTTACACAGTTCCCCAATGGGCATGAAGTCCTGACTGGGTGTATGTGCAGAACCTTCAACAAGAAAACACAAAAAAGCATCTCTTGATGTGAAGATCAGATGTGAAAGGAAATACATGAGGAATTTGCCCAGCAAAAAGAAACATTAACATGCGTCTAGACTTTGATAAATGAGGCCAACACGACCTGTGTAGCAATAAATAGGAAACATTGGGTTCCATATTGTAAACTAAGCTTGTATAAACAAACTAGATTTTTGCACTATGACATGAAGAAAAAAATGTAGGAATGTAGGGTTTGTGTTATATGTTAGTGTTTTGACAACAGGGGTTGAGAGGGAAAAGAAAAGGAACTTGAATATAGTAATATTATAATAAATAAACTGAAGGTGTTAGTGGTTGTCTATCTCCAAATATAAGTGAGAAGCCTGTTCTCTATTTTCTCCTGTCTTTTTGTCCAATGTAGTCAGATGCACTATGCCCTATCTGCACAGTGGTGCTAGTTCCCGACCAGGCCGCTGCTTTCTCCAAATACTGCTCTCCCTTTGCCTTTATCTTTCCCTCCCTCTCAAGACAAACCTTGTCTTTCTTTATATTTTCCCATCATTCCACTTTTTGCTTTCTCAAGCAAAGTTTCAAAGGCTTTGCACGACCAGGAACAGATGTTCTTCACAGAAGAGCTATGTTGCCAGGAACCTTTCATGAAGAGTGTTCCTCTTGTTTCTTTACAGAATTATTCTCTAAACAACAACCAGCTACCTACTGAGTGAGATGAAAGTGGATACCCTGCTGCCTTTTCTTTTCTGTGTCTTGCTTCTTTTTATTAAGAAAACAAAACATAAGTTCAGTCAATGGTGGCAATCCTGTCATTAACTTCTGAGGCAAGATTCTCAAATATATGTATTTGCAAAATGTAAAATTGGGGAATGGAAGTAATTCTCATCTCTTTTTTGGACACTTGGTAATATATGCAAACAAGAACCCTCTACTTTATTGACATTTAGCACAAAGTTGGAAAAGACAGTGCTCAGAGAAAACTAGGTTCTAAGTACAGACCTCCCACTTACAAGCTCAAACGGAGTCCTTACAAAGTCATTAATTCAGTGGTGCCTTAATTTTACTCATCTTTAAGTTGGAAAAAATACCTACCATACATAACTTTGTTTTGAAGGTAAACTGGGTTAAAGTGATGTAAAAGTAAATGGCACTTTTGATAGGGATTACATTGAACCTATAGATTGATTTGGGTACTATGGACATTTTAAAGTATATTTTTCATTGATTATGGTATTACAGTTTTCCCATTTTTTTCTCCCTTTTAAACCTCTACCACACTACACCCTCCAACACCCCCATGTTTCCCTCTGTTAGTTCATATCCGTGGATTGTACATATAAGTTCTTTGACTTCTGTTTCCTATACCATTCTTAACCTCTCCCCATCTATTTTATGCGTGACATTTATGCTTCTTCCCTGTACCTCCACCCCCCATTCTTTCTCTTCCCTTCCCTACTGCAAACCCTCCATGTGATCTCCATTTCTCTGATTCTGTTCCTGTTCTAGTTGTTTGCTTAGTTTTTGTTTTTGTTTTTTAGGTTCAGTTGTTGATAGTTGTGAGTTTGTTGTCATTTTACTGCTCATAGTTTTTGATCTTCTATTTTGTAGATAAGTCCCTTTAACGTTTCATATAATAAAGACTTGATAATGATGAATTCCTTTAACTTGACTTTATCTGGAAAGCACTTGATCTGCCCTTCCACTCTAAATGATAGCTTTGCTGGGTAATCTTGGATGTAGTTCTTTCCCTTTTGTGACTTCAGATACTTCTTTCCAGCCCCTTCTTGCCTGTAAGATTTCTTTGGAGAAATCAGCTGCTAGTCTTATGGGCACTCCTCTGTAGGTAACTCTCTCCATTCCTCTTGTTGTTTTTAAGATTCTCTCCTTATCTTTAATCTTGGGCAACTTAATGATGATGTGCCTTGTTGTGCTCCTCCTTGGGTCCAGTTTCTTTGGTACTCTCTGGGCTTCCTGTCCTTGCTGGAAGTCTATTTCCTTCACCAGACTAGGGAAGTTTTCCTTCATTATTTGTGCAAATAAATTTTCAACTTCTTGCTCTTGTTCTTCTCCTTCTGGCATCCCTATGATTCTGATGTTGAAATGTTTAAAGTTGTCCCAGAGGTTCCTAAGCCTCTCCTCATTTTTTCAATTCCTATTCCTATTTCTTTTTTTTTTTTGTCAGTTGGATATTTATTTCTTCCTTTTGCTCCAAATCATTGATTTGAGTCCCAGATAACTTCCTGTCACTGTTCATTCCCTGTATATTTTTCTTTATTTCACTTTGAGGAGCCTTCATTTCTTCCTTCATTTTGCAAGTGAGCTTAATCAATTCTGTGAGCATCCTGATTACCAGTGTTTTGACCTCTGTATCAGATAGGTTGGCTATCTCCTCATCATTTACCTCTTTTTCTGGAGCTTTGACATGTTCTTTATTTGGGCCATATTTCTTTGTTTCAGTGCATGTGTTATGTTGTATGTGGGCAGGCCCTTAGATATTTGCCAGGTCAGGGCAACCCTCTTTGCTGCTTTGTGGCACTGTTTGTGGGTGAGGGGTCAGAGAGAGAACAATGCTGCTTGCTTGCTCAGTTCTAGCCCAACTTTCCAATGAACTCACATGTCAGGCTGAGAGTTTCTCCCACCATGGCAATGCCTGCAGTAGTTTACAGCTAGCTTTGAGTCTTTAGTTTCCCATTCAGCCAGCCTCACCTGTGCAGTCTGCCTCACCTATACAGTCTGCCACCTAGATGGTCTCCTGCCTCTGCCCTCCTACCAGTCTGGATGAATGTATCTTTAACTCCTTGTTTGTTGGAGTTCTGTGCAGCTTGATTTTCTGGCACTTCTAGTTGTTTATTGCTTTTAGGTTGGTTGTTATCCTTCTTTTCTTTGTGTAAGGAGGTGAAGCATTTCTACCTATGCTTCCATCTTGACTGGAATTCCTCCAGTAATATGGACATTTTAATGATATTAACAATTTCAATCCAAAACAATATTTTCTTTCATTTATTTGTGTCTTCTTTAATTTTACTTTTCAGTGTACGGTAGTGTTCTGAGTACAGGTATTTTACCTCCTTGGTGTGGTTTATTCCCAGTTATTTATTTTTCTTGTTGCTATAGTATATGGGATTTCCCCCCAGTTTCTGTCTTTGATATTTCATTGTTAATATATAAAAGTGCCTTCAATTTCTGAATATTGACTTTACATCCTGTTGTTTTGCCAAATTCACTTATTATGTCAAGTAGTTTTTTGGTGGAGTCTATAGGGTTTTTTATGTACATACAGTACATGCCATATGCAAACAATGGCAGTTTTAATACTTCCTTTCAAATTTGGATTATATGTGTTTCTTTATCTTGTCTGATCACTGTGGCTCAAATTTCTAATACTATGTTGAATGCAAGTGATGATAGTGGACACCCTTGTCTTGTTCCCAATGTGAGAGGGAAAACATTTAGATTTTGCACAATGAGTGTGAAGTTGGCTGTAGTTTTCTTGTATATATCCTTTATTATGTCAAGGTATATTCTCTCTATTCCAACTTTGCTGAGTGTTTTTATCACAAATGGGTGCTGTACTTTATCAAATGATTTTTCAGCATCTATTGATATGATCATGAGATTTTTGTCTCTCACTTTTTTTATGAGATGTATTACATTTATTGATTTGCATATATTGAACCATCCTTGCATCCCTGAGATGAATCCCACTTGATAATGTTATATGATCTTTTTAATGTATTGCTTGATACAGATTGACAATATTTTGTTGAGGATTTTAGCATCTATTTCATCAGTGATATTGGCCTGTAGATTTTTCTTTGCTTTATGTCTTTATCTGGTTTTTGGGATTAGGATGATACTGGCTTCATAAAAAGAATTAGGGAGTCTTCCCTCTTCTTGGATTTGTTGGAGGAGCCTGAGTAGGATAGGGGCTAGTTCTTCTTTAAAAGTTTTGAAAAATTCTCCTGTGAATCCATTCAATCCAGGGCTTTTGTGTGCTGAGAGTTTTTTGATTACTGCTTCAAATTCATAGGCTGTTATTGGTCTGTACAGGCTTTCTGTTTCTTCTTCATTCAGTTTTATAAGATTATATTTTACTAGAAGTTTGCCCATTTCACCTAGGTTTTCAAATTTCTTGGCGTATATTTGTCCACAGTGATTTCTTAAAATCCTTGGTATCTCTGCAGCATCAGTTGTAATTCCTCTTTCATTTCTTTCCTCTTTCATTTCTGATTTTCTTTATTTGGGCCCTCTCTCTTTTCTAATTGTTGAGTCCGCTTAAAGGCTTGTTGATTTTGTTTATCTTTTCAAAGGACCAGCTCCTGGATTTATTGATCCTTTGGATTGTTGTTTTAGTCTCTGTCATTTAATTCTGCTCTGCTCTTATTTTCTTCCTTCTACTTGTTATGGGCTTTGTTTGTTGTAGTTCCTCCAGTTTGTATAGATGTAGAGTAAGGTTGTTTATTTGAAATGTTTCTATCTTTTTTCATTAGGCCTGTATTGCTATGAACTTTCCTCTCAGGACTGCCTTCACTGTGTCTCATAAGTTTTGGATTGTTGGTGGTTCACTTTCATTTGTTTCCAGAAACTTTTTATTTCTTCCTTGATTGCATTATAACCCCTTCATTGTTCAATAAAATACTATTCAATATCCATGAATTTGAGTGTTTGTGAGTTTTTTTCCTTGCAATTGGTTCTACTTTTAGTCCCTTGTGGTCCAAGAAAGTGCTTAATATGATTTCAATTGTCTTACATTTATTGAGGTTGGTTTTGTGTCTAATTATGTGATCTATCTTTGAAAGTGTTCCATGTGTATTTGAAAAGAATGTATATTTTGCTACTTTCAGATGAAAGGTTCTATATAT